GGCACACGAAATAATCTTAGATTTAAAATCACTTATGTAAGTCTGTTATTGTCTGTGCCTTGAAAAATTGTAATTGGTACTCTGTACTTGTTCTGTATGTCTTTGGTTATCGTCATAGATAGGCGATTGTTTGCAAATAACAGCCTCTGCTTCGTTCTGAATTAAACATACCTATTGTAATGACAGTTATATTACTATTATTAGTTTGAAAACTCTTTACCGCGACCAACCACAACCATCAGCGCCGAAGTGGCGAAAATGTAATAGACACAAAATACCACATTTAATAGCCTGTCCATTTATAGAGTTCAGTGACGGGCGTCTGTGCATTGATAATTACCATATTGTAAAAAGAGGTATAAGTAAAACAAATTTATCGCTGATGAATTGTTTAATAGCATTGTTATTATATTTACAAATTATCGTATTCAATAAAGAGATAAAAAGTTCACATTCTCCAACCACGTATAATATTATAAAGTCAATCGTATTTATCACAATTTATATTCTTAATTATAAAATATACAAGCTTATTTACTGATAAAAAAAAACAAAATACAAAAGTCACTGGCTGAAATATTAACTCGTAGAAAAGTAAAAACTTGTCTATGAAATTGAAAATGTAACCGTGAAATTCAACTGCCAAAACGTACGTAAACAGCTGCCATACATATAGCTGTCTCATTTTTTTCTAAGAGAATAAGAAAGACAGCAACATACTGTTTACAATCGTTTTGACAATGGATCCCGACAGATTCACTTGCATGTACAAAGCATGATTCTACAGAATTTGGGCGCAATATTGTCTTTATATTAAATCACGAGATATTTGTTCCTTGAATCCTTAATAAGTAATATAAATTCAACTAAATGGTACACTTAAAGACGTTCTGTGAATTAAAAAAAAAATCGGAACCCGAGTGCCGCTAAATAAAATCATAAATTGGTAACTTTGTAAAATGACTTGAATTTTGAGGCAAAAACCATGAATTAAAAAACTCCATATCTTAATTTAGAGGAACATAAATCTTGTAAGGTAAGCATTTCGAAGTTAGTGATACATCAAAAACCTTTCAATTTTTTTTATAATATTAGGTGAACGAGCAAGCGGCCACCTGAATTTATCGAAATGGTAAGCGACCGCTGCCCATAAACATCCGCAATTGCAGATGCGTTGCCTACCCTTGCGACGGAGGTGAAGTAAAAAAGAGGACATCTCCCCTTACTATGCGTCTTCAGCGAAAAATCCATTTTTCCTTCCCATCCTTTCCTCTTAAGAGGGTGGAAAAGGAAAGGGACTAAAATTAGGCATTGTTTAGACAAAATTATGTATTTGTAGGTATACCATCCCTAAGTGTACCATTAAATTTTTAATCTATAATTATTGTTATTCGTCATACAACTTAAAACTTAAAAAAATGAATCTCAAACTATGGCGAATATCAGAAACAAAAATATCGTCTATTTACAAAGAATATGTACCAAGCGATCGAACAGTAAATAGTAAATTGTAATTTATATCGAGATCAGTATAGTAAATTCTACAAAAAGCTTAAAAAGTATTCGATTCTAAGTTTAAGTAAGTACATGTATTGACAACTTCGAATCTTACATTAAAGTATTGTTAACAATTTATTTAAATGTAATTAAAAAATAAAACGCATAAAATGCTGGCAACTAAACAATTGCCATAAATTAGGTGCAAAAAAACAAATGTCAAACAATATTTAACATCGTTAAACGTGAAATATAAAAAAACACTGGTTCTGCTTCTGGTAGATTATAACAATTGTTTCTGATTCATTGAAATTTAGGTAATTTTAGGCCGTTAATTACAATAATACCAATTCACATATTAATGACATATTTGAACCTTAAAGGTCTTTTGTAAATTAAATTAGGCTATCTCAAAAAGGAACATACGTTTTAAATTTACAAAACACGATAGTAACATCTTCGACGTAAAAGAGTAGATTAATAAAAATTTACAAATTATCAATACGACTAGCGTAATTAAAAGAATCTAAAAATAAAACAAACTAAACAAATTAAACTCTGGATACAATTGAATAATTCATAAGAGTAAAAAAAAATAGGAATTGTCAAAATAAACATAATCAAAAAACGCGATTAAATAATATTAAAGCAATAAAAAATAATAATAAATAACACACAAGTTCACATACACTTCAATATAAAATGCAGGCCAGTAACATAAAGGTCATCGCTCATTACACGCATCCGACATCACCTTGCTCTAACGTAACGCGGTGTCCACCAGCGTGAGTACGCCGCTTGATCGAAAATTGAGCGATCAAGAGACAAAGTTAGTAAAATACAATACAAACACTAGTATAGTTTTATCTCTGGTAAAACCCATCAGGCATTGTCAAATGGGTGTAATAGTGACCTGTTCAGCACTATCATTGTTTATCTGCCACTGTAGGGTCATTTTACACTGCATCACTATAATTCACTATGGTTACACTGAAATATTGTTTAGTTTTGATATCTTCAACTTGTATATAAATTTATCATGAGGTGGAATGCAAACAAAACACTACTATAAGCATGTTTTTTGATCCTAAATAATCCTTACATCATGTTTTTTAACCTTACCTTCTTGCACAAATACACATCAATGGAAGATTGACAATTTTCAATATTAACTTCTGTTTACATAACATCTCATGTTAAAACACCTGTGTATTAAAAGTCTGTTTTCACTGGAATCGCATATAGCACTAGGTGACTGAGCAAAGGTTAAGGCATTACCGCTGTTCGCCAAACAACAGCTTGGCGAAGTACTGCCATCAGCTATGCTCGTCTATATTCGCAATAACATGAGTGTACAAGTGATGCTGGATCACATCAACTAAATCGTATTCGAGTGTCGAAAGCCCGTCTTTCTGGAATATCTTACTTGTTTGCGATAGCAATTGATACCTGGAAATATTATCAGCGTTAGAGGAACCTTTGTTTAAAGTTTGAACTAAGACTTAATAATAGAACAGAAAGAGAAGTGAAACAATGAAATATAAATATCTGACATAAGAGAAATGTTCAGATGGATTTAATGTGTGAAGAGTCCATTCCATTCTAAAAGTCAATTTTATTGGATTTGTGGATAGAGGGTTATGACGTAGGTATTTAACAAAACCGATGGAGCTCACCTTTTTGGATTTGGAGCAGATTTTTTATGATCTAACATGGCGTACCTCGCAATTGACATTTTGTACCTCGCTATGTGATAATTCATCTTTTTTAACCTGTACCAGAAAAAATAAAATAAGGAATTTACAAAATTTAATACGCAAAAATCCGAATCAAAATATTAACTGATTACCTGTAAAACATGTCGTCGTCTTCACCACCCCAACCCCAATATTTATTTGAGAAACCGTTTACTTTGGTAAATTGTTCAACTGTCATCGCTGATACACCGCCGAAAATTTCTTCGTAAGGTAACCTAAAATATAAAAAATTTAAACATTCTGTTTCGAAAAATCTTTGAAGTAAAACAAAAGTAATCCAATGAGACTCACTTGAAATTCAATTTATCAATGGATGCAGACATATGTCTAGGCTGTCTAGGACATGAGTACAAGTTCCTCTGATCCAGCGGCAGGAGGTCTATGTCATGGAATATGAAGCATTGCCACCCGCCCGCCTTTTGTTTCTGACTCTCCGCGAAACCTACGTTCATCAACTTCGCTCGATTAAAATCACTGTTACCTGTCGGAAACAATGAAAATGAGGACATTTGAAAAAATCTACAGATATTTTAGTGCTTAACAATGAGTGAGACTGAAAACTTTTAAATGATCCTCGGAAACAATATGAATGCACTGGTCTATAAAAGTAAAACTTTTGTATTTCAAGTCTTTGTTTTAAATTTCGCACGAGTCACGAGGATTATAAAGCGAAATTTCTCGAACATTTGCTTCAATGACTGCAGTAAACAGATGCGAAGTAAACGCATCGATCCATATTATGAGTATAGCTGCTAAATAGTTTGCCGGAACGAACAGATTATACGCTAAATAACAATTTCAAAAGGGGACGACATGTATATTTGAGAAAACAAAAGATAACCCACCGTCTTGCTCAACAATAAATATTCCATATTCTATTTGTTGCTTCATTAGGAACGGATGCATGTGATTCAGAAACATCGCTAGATGTTGTTGGCGGTCTCTAAAAATAAAAAAAAAAACATAGGTACAACAAATTCCGTCAAATACAAGAACCTAGCGAAAAGAATGCATACGCTTCTCCTTTTTATTTATAATTTTAATACGAATGGTACAACGATGAAATATTTCAAGATTGTCATTAGAAATCATTTTGTTTTACCTGTATGGTACAATAATGGCAACTTTATGCCTTGCTGTGCAGTTTGGCGGCGCGTATCTTCCACCACGATGTACTTCTGGGTATTTAGTTGCAATATCATCTAGTTCTATTTCAGTTTTGTTCACTGTTATTGGACCTAAAAATAATGTCAATATTCAGAATAAACTCTATAAAGTCTAATAAAGACAGTGCTTTATGCGAAGCATGACGTGCGGTAAAATTATGACGAAGAGTTTGTAGTATCGTTGATTCAACAGGTAGATGCCGTGTGATAGTTGTGGCGCGTTGTCGCAGTGATAGGCCAAATAAGCGATGACCTTTATTTTTGTAAGAATTGTCTCCAAGAAGTGGACTATTCATGACTAATGAAATGCACCGGTATATGTACATAATGTATTGATAAAATATTGTATGTAATTACCAAGGTCAGGCGGCATTTCCTCACAGAGAGGCAAATTTGGTTCGCTCATTTTCGAAATCAATTCTTCTGTGGTTACGAGATTCTTTATCCCCTCCATGATCTTGGTTATTAATAACGGTGTACTTGATTCTACTGTAATATTTTGTCTCGTCATATTTGCGACAATAGGTGCTTTGGTTGAACTGTTTGTAGATATTGTATTATTAAAAGTTACGTTTTTAAATTGCGTCGTGTTTGTCACACTGGGGTTTTTTCTCGCGGCAGTGATTGGCAATCTTTTAGACCAGCCGGCCGTTCTGTCACTGTTTCTGGAATAAATTATTGTGGTTAAAACAACGTTTAATACTTGACTAATAAGTGCTACTATAATTATAATATTATTGCTTCGAAATAACTCGTCTAAATGGTCTTGAGTAATCTAATACTTTGTGTTCGTAAGATCGCATACAGCTTAACCCTTAAATACCTTAAGTTTCAAATTTGATACTGAGGTTATAAATCGCATCGGGAACCTACAATCAATGTTATTTTAATGTAAGACTGTTTACATGTTTCCTTTACTTTCAAGTTGGAAAATAGTAAGGAGTCTATCACGAAAATGTTGCTATCTTTGAAGGTAAGGATTTCTCGGCAACAAGTTGCAAGGACAAGATGTAAAAAATATAGTTTTGTTTTTTTTTTACTATTTTCCCCGTTAATAAACACAGTAAAGGGTACACTCGGATATTTTTAAATTTTTAAATTTGATTTATTAAACGCAGGCTCTTAGAGGGTTAAACCTATTCCCGAAGATTAAAGTCACCACCAACTTGTCTGCTATCTCCTTTTATAAAAGATATCTTTTCAATTGGTTTATTTTTAATACAGCTTTATATTCACTTGACATTACATATAGTCACTTCTTACTTAGAGTAGGTTTCGAGCCCCTTAGTTGGGACGTATAGCTAGTGTGAGATATTTACTTGGTTGTGGACTGGGTAGTACTGTAGACCGGCATGTAGAGGTACGTCCTGAAGGGCGAGGCGTCCAGGATGGAACCGAAGAGGTATTCAACAGCTGCTAGCGCCAGCACCAAAAGCAGTAGCAGGCGCAGCGCGCGCGCAGCCCGCCCGCCGCCCCCGCCCGCGCCCATCAACACATTTGACGCATCAACACATTTGATGTGAACACTTCTGCGCCGATCCCTAACAAAATAATAATAATCTTACTAATCTTACTAATATTATAAATGCGAAAGTTTAGATGGATAGATGGATGGATGGATGGATGGATGGATGTTTGTTAGCGTTTGTAGCCTAAACGGCTGAACGGATCTCCATGAAATTTGGCACAGGTTTAGAGCATAGTCTGGAAGAACACATAGGCTAGTTTTTATCCCTGGAATAGTTACGGTTCCCGTGGGATTCATTAATTTACTTTTTTAATGTACACTCGATCATTCTGCAAAGGTTCAACATATCTTATTGAAATTTGGCACAGATATAAAACAAAATCTGGAGTATATATGGGATAAGGTTCATCCCCGAGAAATGTCCGGTTCCCGAGGGATACGTAGCTTTTTGTAATTTTTATAGTTTATATGTTTTCTAATACCACGCGTACGAAGTCGCAGGCAACAGCAGCAGCAGCAGGCAGCTCTTACCTTATAATGTGAAGCTAGTTTTATTATCTATACTAATACTATCTTTGCCCGAAATACGTCCGCGTGGCATTAAAAAAAATAAGTAGCCTAAGTGTTCTTGCACAATATTCTCTACATCTGTGCCAAATTTCAACGAGATCCGTTCAGTTGTTTAGTTTACAAACTCTAACAAACATCCATTCATCTAAACGTTGGCATTTATAATATTAGTAAGAAGTAAGATAGTAAGATTATAAAAAGGGAAGTATTGTATTTTCGTATGTATTCAAATAACACAATAACTACTGGGCAGATTTCAAAAATTTTTTTACCATTAATAAGCTACGCTAAACATGCACAGGCTATACTTTTTTTATATATTTTATATAATTAGAAATACCTTAAAATGCCCGTTCCAATAATGTACATTGTATCCTTTATAAATTTGTTTTCCGTATGCTTAAAACGTGCAATGAAATGCAAAGCAATAATTTTTCATTACTATTTGAACTCATTAAAAATTATCGAAAAACATTAATGTGTACATGATTAAATGATTGATTACTGTTTGCATTAAATACCGGTAATTTCAAAACATGTGTAGATGAAAATGTAAAAACATCTGGTGTTTTTACTATAATTTGTTTAATCAAAATAACGACATATAAAAGGATTATTTGGCATCCGGGAATTTTGTAAACAACGTCAGTTAAATGTCAGGGTGATAGCGTCATTTTGACAGGTCACTTCGCGTCAGTCCCTTGTGCATTTTGTGTATTCTTAACGAAAAAAACACGTCGAAAGTGTTGAAAAGTTATTTAAGAGAGGTTGTTTTGAAAGTACGAAAGTTAAGTGTATGAATAAGAAATTATAAACAATATTTGTTAAAAGAAAAAAAATCTAAAAATGTACATATGTCAAAAGAAGAATTATATTTTTTAAAAGTCAAAAAAGGTTTCAAATGGCGCGCACTGGCCATGCAACCTCGGAGCAGTGTCGCCGTACCACGATTGAAAATCGTAAACGAAAGGAAAATGCCTCTGTGCTAAATGGTTCATTAATTGCCACACTCAACTGCCTCAATGAAAACAGAATCAAAAGTGAGTAGCATATTCTTTTAGACTATGCTCTACATCGTTGCTTTTTATCGAAATCTGTTTCGCCATTTAGGCAGCAAAGTCTAAACATCCATACATCTAAACTTTTAAGATAAGATTATAGGAGAGTCAAATGCTGAATTCAGTAAAGGAATGTGTATTTAAATTAGTTTAAGTTGCGTTAAGATCTGTATATTAAATTATTCCTTACCTGTGACGATAACCTGTTCAAGCAAGGTGCTTTGTGAAAATATCCCATCATCTTCAGAGAAGACATCGACTTTTCTTATTAAGAACCCTTTTCATGGTTACATCTGAAATAAAGAAAAAACCTGTTAATTTATAATCCTCTATATATCTGCACACAATGAAAAATCACTACTGATTTAGCATTTACTGAAAATTATATTTGTTTTGCTATTTGTAAACTATTTTACATATTTACTACATTATGAACAGAGGGCTTATCATAAATATTCGTGAGAACATATCCGTAACATTACGATAAAGTTTGTATCACATTTATGCAGCATACCGAAGGTAAAACACCAACAAACCTCATACAAACAAATGTCGATAACGTTACAAATACGTTCCAAGTGTCACGCAAATATTTCGTGATACACCCTCTGATAAGGCTTGAAGGAAACACTGCAAGCATGTCACAGAACCGTAGGTCTACACTGATGAAACTGTACAAAAACATATTATCACTATTTTAATAAAGAAAACGAGACAGAACACCATACTTTCGTATGTGCTTCGTGAGTGGAAGCCCACGATAAAAATGACACTAAGAAGCGAAATGTAACTTTTTGTTTTCTACAAAAAAGATCAAACCAAAACTAATACCGCAGGTCCAACGTATGAAATTTTTTTTAGCGTAGCTAATTTTTTGGGCTATATTTAGTTTGATTTTGAATTATTAGGGGAGTCAGTATTTTTTCCATATCAACAAAAATTATCGAAACACATTTTGTGATTTTTTTGTCCAATTGGCAGGGTTTGGATTTAGCGTAGTATTTAACACACTTGAAATATGTATAATACCAAGTACACATATTGTACAAATAAAAAATAAATAAAAAAAAAAACAGCTTTCTCCGATATACACACACTAGTGCACGTTGATTTCAACATTCTCCAGCTTGTTCCAGTAATTCCCCATAAACTTATAAAGAAAGAAGCAATTTCTTTTACAAAAACAATCGACAAAATCATGTTATTGCTTTTTGTCTCTTTAGCAGAGTAGAAAACATTTTTTTGCACAGAGTATTCAATATTAGATAAATAACGAACTTTTAAAATTGAAACTAAAATTTATGAAATTGAGTTCTAAGTATTTCTATACAAAGAAAAGAAATGAATGAGAGGAATTCTCGAAATTCTACATGCATTTAATTATGATATCATTACATCAACGCGAAATAAAAGCAACTAAATATTACATTTAAAAATTACTCACATACGTTACACTGTGAACATCAACCTTTATTCAGTAACGTTACGACGTTCCCTAGTCCTGTTATCCTAGTCGGAACAGAGATACAAAAGTGTTGTTGTCCCTGTTTTTTTCAAAGATAATGACAGGGACAACACATGTTACGTCAGGTGAATTCCTCGCTTGTTTGTATTATTGTACACCTTAAACACAACTATCTATATATTGTTTTAAGAAAACGCGAATTTTCAACGATTAGTAACAATTATGATTCACAATATAAACATAAAAGTGCAGTCGCGGAAACCCGCGGTGCTTCACATGTCTAAATACTATCCATTGATGAAACTTGTAAAACAACATTGTCGAATACAAGTTTTAGGGCAATAAAAACCTAGGGTAAAGAGTAGAGTTAAAATGGTATAGAGTGTGCCGGTCTATTACGAATATTTTAGAGAACGTATTCGTAACATTATCGACAAGTATGATATATGTCGGTGTTTTAAATCCATTCAGATGTCGATGACGTTACGTAAATTCTCATGAATATTCGTGATAAGGCCTCACTAGTTGAAGATTATGTTTTATTTTAAACATTGTATCAACATAAATAAATAAAAGATTATTTTCATGTTTACAAAATTCAAATATTTGCTTTCGTAAACATGCAATTTTTCAACTCCAATTTCCGACTACATTAACTGCAAAGTAAAATAGAATAAAAAAAAACATCCAGCGAGCCTTTCATATGTAAACTGAAAAGAGTTCTTTTACGTTTGTGGCTTACAAAGTTATTGTACAGCATTGTGTGCACGATTTCGTTTAGTTTCTGTAAGCTTTTTTTATACAAATAAGGCAAAGTAACATCAAAAAGGCGGATAAAATATGCTCGGGGTTCTTTTTTAAAATTATGTGCTTTGTACCGCAACTAGAAAACGTGCTTTGCTTTCATAACGAAATGGAAAGCGTGAAAGTTTTTACTACACTATGCTCATATCTTGAGAAAAGATTGTATAGAATTGAAAAAATAAAAAATATAACAAACCTATCCACACAATTTTACATTTATAGGGCTACTAGCTGTTCTCGTGCGGCTTCATCCGCATGAAATCATAAAAATTTTATTTTATTGTTTTCATTTGTCAAATCAATAGCAAATGACAAAATTACATGACATGATAACAACCTTGTTTCCTTGATGTTGGCATCAACTTATGGTCTCTTTCCCACATTTTTTATCCAAAAAAATTACTCCTAAGTTTAACGGCATAAAAATATATAGCCTAAAGCGTGACGCAAGCGTAGGGAATTTTATTAAAAAAATGATTATTCAAAAATATGCTGTAATTGCTGACTTCTTAGGCAACAAAGAAGTGTGTGTTTACGCTTTATTATAATAGTATAGATAATAATAATAGACTTTTTAATAACTGTTTGTATCATCCATTTAAACATTACAACTTTTCACAATAAATTACATTTTTAGCCAGTGAAATATGTAAATAGAATATCTCCTTTCCATAGTGAGACTTTAATTACGTTTAAAGTACTATGCTAACGAAAAGGGTTTAAGACAATTTCTCAGTAACAAACAGGCAAATTTATAACAATTATAGTAGAAGATACGGTGGAAGTAAACTTCCAAAATAGAAAACACGATTTTCCACTCGGTCAATACTTCATTAAAATATATACTAAGTACCTCGTTAGTGTGGTATGGACATGTTATCGTCTAAATGATGGGGACATAAACCAGAAAGTGTTAAGATTGAATGTGGGTGGCTATAAAGGAAGAGGAAGACCGAAGAAAGTATGGATGGATTGTGTGAAAGAGGATATGATTAAGAAAGGAGTGGATTCAGATATGACGGCTGATAGAGATGTATGGAAGAGCAGCACATACTGTGCCGACACTCCGTAAGGGATAAGGGCAAGTGGATGATATACTAAGTACCTCTGTTTTTTCAAGATAATACATTTTTGCAAAAGAGTATCCGTGTAATCCAACCATTATACTGACAGTCATTTAGAAAAGCCAAGAATACACGTGTCCTATACATACAGAAATCACAGTTGTATTAAAAGAATTTCACTGGTTAAATATTTACTTTCCTTAAGTAAAGTTCAAAGAGAATTGATTGAGTTGTGATTCTTAGGATCCGATGTTACGCACCTTTGCCCTTTACGCACATGAATGAGTTCCGATGGTTCAAAACGTATTGACGTTACATGGAAGGTTAAATGTACATATGTTGAGTATAAGCGTGTTAATTTACTTTTAAATATGCGGAAAACCGGCTTGAAATATTTCCTTAACTGAAATAGTTAACAGTTACTTAAGAAGTCATTTATTTTTTCTATTTCTTTTGTATTTAGTAATGGCTTTCAAACAAAAAGGGGTTGAGAGTTGTGTAAGCAAAGAGATTCGAAAATTATTTAGAGAAGGCATAGTTGACACTTCACTTGAAACATTTTTTATCTATTGATAGATAGTCAAAACAAATTAAATGTAATATTTAAATACTAACTTTCGCCCACGACTCCGTCCGCGTGGAATTAAAAAAAAACACAAGTGAGTGCCCCACGTGTTATTCCAGACTATCCCCTACATCTACATCAAATTTCATCGAAATCCGTTTAGCCGTAAACGGCTGTAAACCTAAAGGTTACAAACTCTAAAAAACATCCATCCATCCATCTAAACATTCACATTTATGACATTAGTATGAAGTATATCAAGGACGTGAGGTGTCCTACTAAACTAAACAACTGATATAGTAACTTTCAGAGAAAGTACTAGTGAAAAAACGTTGTTCACTGCCTCGTCTATATATTTAAATGTCTATGTGTAGGTTAGTTAGAGAAGTCTATAAGAACGTGTTATATTCAGAGTGCAGATTGAAGATTTTTAACATTATGTTTAATCATGGAACATTCTAGATAAAGAGCGGGAGCATTGTTTCATTTATGTTTATATCCAATGGCCGAAGGTTAGAGCGGAGAGGGCGATCGATACTGCAGTTGTGTCCACTGACTACTGCATTATATCTATAAAATATAACTTATACAGCAATCTCTTGGACGATTTTTACTTTAAAACCAATCAAACTCAGATTGAAATGTTCAAATATACACGTGACACATTAAAAAACAATTGATGACAAAAGTTAATACCAAATTCATACGTAATATTGAACGTAACTGAACGGAGAAATTTGCTTTTTTGGTCGAATTTAAGCTTATAAAATTATTCATAGTCATGAATACAACAAAGCGGCATTGCGTGCACACTTTAACTAAACTG